TAGCAGAAGTAAGGAAATAATAAAGATTATAACAGAAAATAAATGAATAAATGAAATGAAAAGCAGAAAAACAATAGAAAAGGTTAACAAAACTAAAAGTTGGTTCTTTGAAAAGATAAACAAAACTGACATTTGGCTAGCCTAACCAAGAGGAAAAATAATGAGAAGACTCCAATGAACAAAATTATAAGTGAAAGAAAAAAAAAGACATTGCAACTAACACCATAGTAATATAAAGAATCATAATAGGCTACTATGAACAACTATACACCAACAAACTGGACAACCTAGAAGACACGGAACAATTTTTAGAAACATACAACCTACCAGGACTGAATGAGGAGAAAATAGAAAATCTGAACAGAACAAATGTTAATAAGGAGACTAGATCAATAATTTAAAATCTTACAATGAAGAAAGCCCAAGACCAGATGGCTTCACTGGTAAATTTTACCAAACATTTAAAGAAGAATCAATACCAATCCTTCTCAAACTCTTTCAAAAAAGTTGAAGAGGATGAAACATTCCCAAACTCATTTTATGAGGCCAGCCTTACACTGATACTAAAGCCAGAAAAGGACATTACAAGAAAACTATAGGCCAATATTCATGAAGACTAAAAATGCAAAAATACACAATAAAATATTCAAATAGATGCAAATAGAATTCAGCAGCACTTTAAAAGCATCATCACATGATCAAGTAAGATTTATCTCTGGGATGCAAGGTTGTTTCAACATATGCAAATGAATAAATGTGATACATCACTTTAATAGAATGAAAAAAAATCATGTCATTATCTCAATAGACACATTGAAAGCATTTGCCAAAATTCAACATCCATTTATGATACAACTCCTTAAAAATTCAGCATAGAAAGAATGCACCCCAACATAGTAAATAACAACATATATGACAAGCCCCCAACTAACATCATACTCAATGATGAAAGGTTGAGGGCTTTTTCTCTAAGATCAGGAATAAGACAAGAGCACCCACTCTCACCACTCTTATTCAACAGAGTACTGAAAATTTTAGCCAGAGCAATCAGGTAAGACAAAGTAATAAAAGGCATCCAAATTAGAAAGGAAGAAATAAAATTGTCTCTATTTGAAGATGACAAGATTTTATAATAGAAAAACATTTGTTATAATAGACAATATTTTAAAGAATCCATCCAAAAACTGTTATATCCACACAACAAATTCAGTAAAGTTGTAGAACACAAAATTAACATGCAAAAATCAGTAGCATTTTTATAAACTAACAACAAATTATCTGAAAAAGAAATAAAACAACCCACTTCCGATAGCATCAAAACAATAAAATACTTAAGAATAAACTTAACCAACGTCATGCTATCCAAAACCATCTATAGATTCCATGCATTCCCATCAAGATGCCAATGGCACTTTTTTAGAATTAATAGAATTAGAAAAACAATCCTAAGATTTGTATGAAACCACAAAAGACCCTGAATACCTTAAGAAAACCTGAGAAAGCTGAACAAAGCAAGAGGTATCAAACTTCCTGACTTCAAGCTATATTATAAAACTATAATCAAACCAGCATGGTACTGGCATAAAAACAAATACATAAACCAATGAAACAGAATTGAGATCCCAGAAATAAGCCCATGCATATATAGTCAACTAATATTTGACAAGAGTCAAGGCTACTCAATGGAGAAAAGACAGCTTCTTCAATAAATGCTGAAAAAATATTCACATGTAAAGAAATGAAACCAGACACCTTGCTTACACCACTCACAAAAATTATCTCAAAATGGATTAAAGCCTTTAAATGCCAGATCAGAAACCATAAACTCCTAGAAGAAACCATAGGAAAAAAACTCTTTGACATGGGTTTGCAATGTTTTTGGATACAACATCAAAAGCACAAGCAATAAAATTAATAATAAGTGGGACTACACCAAATTAAAAAGCTACTGTACAGCAATAGAAATAATCAACAAAATGAAAATAAAACCTATGGAATGGGAAAAATATTTGCAAACTATATTCTGATGAGAGGTTAATGTCCAAAATACACAAAGAACTCATACAACAGGGGAAAAAAAAGAAAAGAAAACAAGGGAAAAAAGAAAAAGAAAAAAGAAAAAAATGGGCAGAGTATCTGAATAGACATTATTTCTGAGGAAAAAAAAAATGGCCACAGGTACATTACAAGGTGCTCAATATCACTCATCATAACGGAAATGTAAATCAAAATCACATAAGCTATCACTTCACACCTGTTAGAATGGCCATCACCAAAAAGGCAAGAGATAACACACACTGGTGGGGATGTGGAAAATAGGAAACCTCCGTGCATTGTCAGGAGCATTGAAAATTGCTGCAGCCATTGTGGAAAACAGTATAGAGTCTCCTGATACTATAACTAGACCAAGACATTCACATGAAAACTACAGACCAATGTATCTTATGAATATAGATGAAGAAAAATCCTCAACAAAATACTAGCAAGCTGAATCCAGTAATATATAAAGAGGATTGCACACCATGACCAAGTGGGATTTATCCCAAGGATGCAAGGTTTGGTTAACATATGAAAATAAATTATTATAATACCTCACATCAACAGAATAAAGGACCCAAACCACACAATCATCTCAATAGATGCAGAAATGCATTTGACAAAATTCAGTACTCTTTCATGATAAATACACTCAACAAGTAGGAATAGAAGGGATCTTCTTAAACATGATGAAAGGCATCTATAAAAAACCCACAGCTAAGATCATGCTTAATGCTGAAACTGAATAGTTTTCTTTATGATCAGAAACAACACAAGGATGTTTCATGTTGCCACCTTCTTCAGATTGTACCAAAGATTCTAGCCAAGGCAATTAGGGAAGAAAATGAAATAAAAGGTATCCATATTTGAAAGAAAGATGTAAATCTATATTTGTAGATGATGAGATGTTATTTATGGAAATTCATAAAGAATTCGTTAAAATTAGATTGATAAGTTCAGCAACATTAAAGGATACAAAATTAATATACATATTTTAAAAATTGTATTTCCATCCATTTGCAAGGAATAATAAAAAAATGAAGTTAAGAAAGCAAATCCATTTATAATAGTATCAAAAGAATAAAATACTTAGGAATAAATTTAACAAAAGAAGCACAAAATCTACTCTACTCTGATGGGTTGGGGACTTACTGAGCATGAATGAAATAGTAGTTGCTCAGAGTAACAGTTCACCTAAAATGATTCAAGGGTATCAATGTTGAAGTACAGGGAACCCTTTGTTCCTTACCAAAAAAAGAGGTCCCATCTCAACTCTATCTCTGGCTCCTTATCCTACTATCTGTGTGATTTTAGAAAAGTTTTGTAACCTTCTGTGCTGTCATTTCCTTATCTGCAAAACTGCTATAATAACAGTGTGTACATCAAAGATCATTGTGAAGATTATATGAGATTGATTTTGTAAAACAGGGTGCTTAGCTTGTATTAAGGGCTTTCTCTGTGTTTATTATTATGCTTCAAGTTGAGAGAGTAGCCCTCACCAATGTACCACTTGACAAAAGTTATTTTATACCACTGATATCCAAATACAATTTCTAGCTTGCTTCTACCTCTGATCCGCTATAGTCTATTCTCAGTACAGAAGCCAGATTTAACTTTTTAAAAACATAGATCAGATCATCTTAGTTCTCTGTTCCACCCTGCAGCAGCTTCCCACTCCATTCAGAGTAAAGACCAAAGTCTTCAAAGGCCTACAGGCACCTGCACAAACTGTCCACTATCTTCTCACTGACCTCACCTTCCACCCTTCTACTCCTCACTCACACTGCTCCACCACAGTTACCTCCTTTCTTTGCCCACACCAGCATGCATACAATTAGGAGCCTTGCACCAGCGGTCCTCTCTGCCCTAGACATCCTCCTGGCTAACTCTATCACTTTCACTATCTGCTCAAGTATCACCTTTTCACCGAAGCCTCATCCTGACCAATAGCAGTCCATACCCTCTCCAGCATTCCTGGAAGGAATCCAGCGATAAGAAATCAAAATTAGGTATCAGAGCCCACAAGAAGGAGGGGCCCTGGTAAATCACTTCAGACTTCTGGCACTCCAGAAGAGATGTTACCCAAAGAAAGGGCAAATCTGAAAAGGAAAATCCCTCTCAAACACTGAAGTTTAGCTTCACATAAGCTCAGTAGGGTATTCTGTCACAACTCCAACTGCCTGCCAGAAACAAAAGTAAACTCTGAAGAATATAACACCATGCAAAGCCTCAAATTACCTTAATGATTCTTTAGATTCAATCAAAATTCTTTACATTCAATAAATTACCATGCATACCAGAAAACATAAAGAAAGAAAGAAAGGAGCAAAAACTAAAGGAAAAAAATATGGACAACAGAATAGATCCAAAAGTAATCAAGATATTGAAGTTATCTAATGTGGACTTGGAAATAACTGTGAAAAATATGTTCAAGAAAATAGATAACAAGATGGAAAATGTCTTCAGAGAATGTCAATATTTAATAAAGAATCAATGGCAAATTCTAGAACTAAAACAGTCAACAAACTAATTTAAAAGTGGATTGGACAGAGCAGAAGAGAGGCATAGTTGACTGGAGCATATCTAAACCAAAGCATAGTGAGACAGAGAATAGAACCTAAGAGGTATGTGGGACATAAAAAAAATATAACATGAATCAAAGTCCCAAAAATAGAGGATAAAGAGAATGGGGAAAGAGGCAATGATCAAAGGCATTATGATTGAAAATTTTACAAAAGATTAAAGGATATCAAGTGACATATTAAAGAATCTCACTGAATCCTAAGCAGAAAAAAAATCAAATAAATGTGTATCTGTCAAAACTTTATTTTTAAAGATTTTTATTTATTTAACACAGAGAGATAGTGAGAGAGAGAGAGCACAAGCAGGGGGAGCAGCAGGCAGGCAGAGGGAGAGGCAGAAGCAGGCTCTCAGCTGAGCAAGGAGCCCAATGTGGGGCTCCATCCCAGGACCCTGGGATCATGACCTGAGCCGAAGGCAGCCGCTTAACCAATTGAGCCACCCAGGTGCCCCATATCTGTCAAAACTTTTAAATGTACCTTCCCTTTGATTCAGCAATTCCACTTCTTTAAAGTATCTTACAGATATAATTGTATTTTACAGACATAGTTTGTGAAGGATGATATTCATTGCTACATTGTTAAATTTAAAATAATCTGACCAACAGTATTTTTCACAGAACCAGAATAAGAAATCCTAAAATTTGTGTGGAACCACAAAAGACCCTGAATAGCCAAAGCAATTTTGAGAAACAACAACAAAGCTAGAGTTAACACAATTCCAAATTTCAAACTATACTACAAAGCTGTAGTAATCAAAACAGTATGGTACTGGCATAAAAACAGACACACAGATCAATGGAACAGACTATATAACCCAGAAATAAGTCCATGATTTTTATGACAAAAGAGGTAATAATATATAATGGGGAAAAGACAATCTCTTCAATAATGGTGTTGGGGAAACTAGACAGCTACATGCAAAAGAATGAAACTGGACTTCTTACACCATACACAAAAATAAACTCAAAATGGACTAAAGACCTAAATGTGAGACCTGAAACCATAAAACTCCTCAAGAAAACATAGGCAGTTATTTCTTTGACAAAAATGCCTTCCCACCATATTTATGAATATGTCTCCTCAGCCAATGGAAACAAAAAATAATAATAAACTGTTGGGATTACCCCAAAATAAAACACTTTTGCACAGTGGAGGAAACCATCAACAAAATAAAAAGACAACCTGCTAAATGGAAGAAGATATTTGCAAATGACATATCTGATAAGGGGTTAATGTCCAAAATATATAAATAACTTAGACAACTCAACACCAAAATAATCATCATCATCATCTTATGAAAAAAAAAAAAGGGCAGAGGACTTGAATAGACATGGTTCCAAAGAAGATATACAGATGCCCAAAAGGCACATTAAAAAATGCTCACCATCAGTAATCATCTGGGAAATGCAAATCAAAACCACAATAAGATTTCACTTTACAACCTGTTGGAATGATTAGTATCAAAAAGACAAAAAATAACTGTTGGTGAGGATGTGGAGAGAAAGGAACCCTCATGCACTGATGGTGGGAATGTAATTTGGTGCAGCCACTGTGGAAAACAGTATGGAGGTACCTCAAAAAATTAAAAATAGGAATACTATATGATCCATTAATTCCACTACTGGGTATTTACCCAAAGAAAATGAAAACATTAATTCAAAGATATATGTACCCTATGTTTATCACAGCATTATTTACAAGAGCCAAGATATGGAAGTAACCCAAGTGTCCATTGATAGATGAATGGATAAAGAATATGTGGTGTGTATATATGTATGTATACACACATATACACACACAATGGAATATATCTCAGCCATAAAAAGAATGAGATCTTGCCAGTAGCAACAACACAGATGGACCTAAGAGGTATTATGCTAAGTGAAATAAACCAGATAGAGACAAATACCCTATGATTTTACTTATATGTGAAATCTAAAAAACAAAACAAATGAGCAAATAAAAAGCAGAAACAGACCCATAAATTCAGAGAACAAACTGATGGTTGCCAGCGGAGAGGGAGGGCAAGAGGATGGGCAAAATGGGTGAAGGGGAGTGGAAGGTATAGACTTCCACTTACGGAATAAACAATTCATGGGGATGAAAGGTACAGCATAGCGAACAGACTCAGTGGTATTTTAATACTGTTGTATGGTGACTAATGGTAGCTACACTTGTGGTGAGCATAGCAAACATATAGACTTGGTGAATCACTATGGTGTACATCTGAAACTAACGTAATATTATATGTCACCTATACTTCAATTAAAGAAATAAAACTGAATGACAATCAACTGTAGGTAGCATTATAAATTATGATATATCTTCTCTCTCCTCCATCTCCAATTACGCTAATTCTTTTCAGAGTTCTCTAATACACTGTCTAAATGTCTCTACTGGAAAATAAATCTTTTGTTCCTTTACTGATTCTCTTTATTCTTTTAATGAATGAGCCATCCATACTGGACCATGCTCCCAATTTTGGATTTCGATGAAATACCACACACTATGTGACATACATCTGGTTTCCTGAATGGCTGAAGGGACCTGACGATATAACATAGAAGCACAAAGATAAGTTGAAGGTGAAGCTTGACTAATGGCAAACAGGTAACAGAAGGGAGATGGGCGGGTAACATCCCCTCCTTTCTTCTATTGTGGACTATGTTGAGACATGTTTCCTTCTTGAAATCTTTCTGGAGAAGTCCTCTGCATCAACTGAACTAAGCACCCAGCTTTGTCTCTGCTTTGCTTGTCCTGAAGCGTAGGTAGCATGACAAACATCACATCACATTATGCTGCCTACACCCTGCCTAGCCTCAATTTCCTCCTCCATCACCCTCATTGCCCTGGGTCTGTACCTCTCAAATAATGTGTTAGCTCTTAATTCTTGCATCCAGCTCTACTATCTAGAGAATCTGAGCTAAGGCAATATCAATTTTTTTATTCCATACAATAGAATACCACGAAGTCAACTAAAATGAAACAGTTCTATATGTACTGAAATGGAATCCATCGATAATCCATCCATAAATAGATAAAGAAAGAAAGAAAGAAAAAAAAAAAAAGAAGAAAGGAAGGAAGGAAGAATAAAGCATGGTGAAGAACAGAAGAATTTCTCTTTGCAAAAAAAAAAATTCTTGTATGATTAAAATATCTTTTGAAGAATACACAAATAATAAATCACAATTATTTTCTCAAAGGTAGGTAATTGGGTAGTATTTTTTGTATGATTAAAATATCTTTTGAAGAATACACAAATAATAAATCACAATTATTTTCTCAAAGGTAGGTAATTGGGTAGTATTTTTCTTATATGCCATTACAAAACCTTTAAATTTTGTAGCTCTATTTGTATTATTCATTAAAATTACTTTTAAAAAAGAAATGAACAATTATCATGAAAAGAGATTTCACAAAATAAATGAGCGAGCAAGCAAGCAAAGTATTTTTATGTTTATACCCCAAGAATTTAAGATTCCTCATTCAACTAATAAGTGTGAGAGTGGTAAGCAGGACTGTGATGCTAGGTCTTAAAAATCATGTTGAGGTTGCTGAAATTTATTCTATGTACAATTGGAAGCCATATTAGCCCACTGAGTGACTTCACATAGAGAAAAGAATTCTCACTTTGACTGTCTGGTAAAAAATGAATTAGCTGGGAAAAATATGGAAGCAGATCAATTAGAGGTTGTTGTAATAACCCAAGGTTGCATTAGGCTCTGACAAAAGAAGACGGGACAGGTAAACTGGGGGCTTTACATTTTATGTTTTTATGTAATTCTGTGAGCCATTGTGTGACTGTGAAAAATAGCAAATTATCTGGATCATATATCATACTTTTTGTCAAAACCATAACTCTATGCTCCTAACAATCATTTTAAATCATGACAGACAAGCCAGTCATATTTCACAAAGCATTTCTTCCCTTTTAGCTTATTATAATCTGTGTTACTGATTCTTATGACCATTAGTTTCTCAGAATCACTCTACATTTACAACATAATTTGAAGAGCTAAATGCTCTCATATTTGGCCAAGATTCTATGGACTACTTCTGATCTCCTAAGAAATCACCATCATTAAGGGAAATATTGATTGACGTATATGCTATCTTAGAAGATATCTTAAAATACTCCAGTCAGAGACACTGAAATAAGATAAAACAGTATTTACATAAATCAATACTCTCAATACTCAAGCTTCTCAAGGATACACTGTCTGTTATGTCTTGCTTGCCTTTGGAAGTAAGTATCTTGATTTTCATTTTCCCCATTCTTTGGGCTGTACTTGAGTAGTCTCTCAGTTCTCAAAAGAAGAAAAGCTTTATGGAAAAATTAAAAATTCTTAAAAGAAAACCTTTGAAAGCCATGTTTGCCTACATTTTAAAAAAGGTGGGAGGTTAACATGTATTGTAGACGATTATCCCCCAGTGATGTGACCAGTGAAAAAGAGGAATATGTTAAAGTATCTCCTAACAGTATTTTTAAATTTTTTAGGAAGAAATATACTTGCTCTTCAAGATATATTACCAAGGATTAGGCTAAGAAATATCTCCACATTTATATGAAGCTGGACAGGCAGTTCTATTTCTTTTTTTTTTTTTTTTAAGATTTTATTTATTTATTTGACAGGGAGAGACATAGTGAGAGAGAGAGCACAAGCAGGGGGAGTGGGAGAGGGAGAAGCAGGCTTCCCGCTGAGCAGGGAGCCCGATGCGGGGCTCGATCCCAGGACCCTGGGATCATGACCTGAGCTGAAGGCAGACGCTTAACGACTGAGCCACCCAGGCGCCCCAGGCAGTTCTATTTCTAACAACTTATAGACAAAGGCCTTAATCAGAAACACAACAAAGAGAAGTGACAAGAGACTAAAAACCAAAATATGTTGACTTATGTCTATCAGATTAACACAGGTTCATGACTTAATATTTCTAATTTGGTAGGGGTTTTTTGGTAAATGTTTTGTGTGTGGTTTTCTTCTGAAAGATAAAAATGACATTTCCTTTATTTTTTGTTTTTTAGAAATTCATATTAGTTTACATTAGTTACTATAACAAATCAATCTCAAAATGTCTTTTGGCCCTAATATGGAAAAAGTTCACTTATGAGAATTTCCAAACAGAAATGTTATTCTTCTCCAAGCACTGATTTAGGGACCTGGGATCCTTTTATCCAGTTGTGTGGTCATCTTTAACACATAACTTCCAAAACTGCTGTGCTTGTCTGCATCAAAGAGGTTGATAGGACAAGAGTATAGGGGAGGTATATAATACAAAAATATATATATTTATACATAAATATTATATATCATATATTATACATTATATATATCATACTATATATGTGTATATATACATATATACATTTTATACATCACATTTTCTTTATCCATTCATTCATTGATGGACACAAGTTGTTTCCATTTCTTGGCTTTGTGATAATGCTTGAATAAATATGTGGGTGTAGATAATTCTTTCATTTCCTTCATATTATGCATCCAGAAGTAGGATTGATGGGTCATATAGTAATTCAGTTTTTAATTTTTTGAGGAACCTCTATACTGTTTTCCTTAGTGACTGCACCAATTTACATTCCCACCAGTAGCACACAAGGATTCCCTTTTCTGCATTTCCTCACCGACACTTAATTATCTCATGTCTTTTTTCATGACAACCATTCTATAGAAGTGAGGTGATATCTCATTATGGTTTTGATTTGCATTTTCCTGATGATTAGTGATGCTGAGTACCTTTTCATGTATTAGTTTGGCCATATGCATGTCTTCTTTGGAAAAATATTGCTTCGGGTCCTCTGGCCATATTTTATTAAATTATTTGGGTGACTTTTTTTTGTTCATTTGCTTTGCAATTCAGTAGTATGAGTTACTTACGTATTTTGGATATTAACTCCTTTTCAGATATATGGTTTACAAATATGTTCTCCCATTTTATAGGTTACCTCATTATTCTGTTGATTGTTTCTTTTGCTGTGCAGAAGCATTTTAATTTGATGTAGTGTCACTTGTTTATTTTTGTTTTGCTGCTTGAACTTTTGGTATTATATCCAAAAAAATTGTTGCCAAGACCCACATCAAGAAATTTTTCCATATATTTTCTTCTACAAGTTTTAGGGTTTCAGGTATTACATTTAAGTCTCTAATTCAAGTTAATTTTTTTATTATGTTCAGTTAGCCAACATATAGTACATCATTAGTTTTTGAGGTAGTGTTCAATGATTCACTATATGTGTATAAGACCCAGTGCTCATCACAACACGTGCCCTCCTTAATGCCCATTACCCAGCTACCCCATCCCCCCAACCCCCTCCCTTCTGTAACCCTCAATTTGTTTCCCAGAGTCCAGAGTCTCTCATGGTTTGTCTCCCTCTCTAATTTCTTCCCAGTTTTCCCTCCCTTCCCCTGTGGTCCTCTGTGCTATTCCTTATGTTCCACATATGATAACTGTCTTTCTCTGCTTGACTTATGTCACTTAGCATAATCTCCTCCAGTTCCATCCATGATGATGCAAATGGTAGGTATTCATCCTTTCTGATAGCTGAGTAATATTCCATTGTATATATGAACCACATCTTCTTTATCCATTCCTCTGTCGATGGACATCTGGGATCTTTCCACAGTTTGGCTATTGTGGACATTGCTGCTATGAACACTGGGGTCCATGTGCCCCTTCTTTTCACTACATCTGTATCTTTGGGGTAAATGCCAAGTAATGCAATTGCTGGGTTGTAGGGTAGCTCTATTTTTAAAGTCTTGAGGAACCTCCATACTGTTTTCTAGAGTGGCTGTACCAGCTTGCATTCCCACCAACAGTGTAAAAGGGCTCCCCTTTCTCCACATCCTTGCCAACATTTGTTGTTTCCTGTCTTGTTAATTTTTGCCATTCTAACTGGTATAAGGTGGTATCTCATTGTGGTTTTGATTTGTATTTCCCTGATGGCTAGTGATGTGGAATATTTTTTCATGTGTCTGTTAGCCATTTAGATGTCTTCTTTAGAGAAGTGTCTGCTCATGTCTTCTGCCCATTTCTTGACTGGATTATTTGTGTTGAGTTTGAAAAGTTCTTTATAGATCTTGGATACCAGCCCTTTACCTGATATGTCATTTGCAAATATCGTCTCCCATTCCGTGGGTTGCCTCTTAGTTTTGTCGACTGTTTCCTTTGCTGTGCAGAAGCTTTTTACCCCAATGAAGTCCTAGAAGTTCATTTTTGCTTTTTAGAGACAAGTCTTGAAAGAAGTTTCTGTGGTCGTTGTCAAAGAGGTTACTGCTTATATTCTACTTTAGGATTTTGATGGATTCCTGTCTCACATTGAGGTCTTTCATCCATTTTGAGTTTATCTTTGTGTAGGGTGTATTTATGAGTGATGTAAGATAGACAACCAACTTCATTCTTTTTTTTTTTCTCTAACTGGAAAATTTCAAATGTTGTCTTTGAGTTCATGGATTCTTTCTCTGTATGATCAAGTCTGTTGCTGAAGGTCCCTACTGAATTTTTTAGTTCTATCATTGTATTCTTCAGCTCCAGGCTTTTTGTTTGGTTATTTTTTATGGTTTCTATTTCTTTATTAAATTCATTTTGTTCATGAATTGATTTCCATTTTGTTTAGTTATCTATATGTATTTTCTTGCATTTCATTTAGTTTCTTTAAGATGATTATTTTGAATTCTTTGTCAGGCAAACACTAAGTCTCCATTTCTTTGAAGGTGGTTACACATGCTTTATTAGTTTCTTTTGGTGGTGTCATATTTGTCTGATTCTTCATGATTCATGTAGCCCTGTGCTGGTGTCAATACATTTGAGAGAAAACTTCTCTTCTGGTCTTTACAGACTGGTTTCAATAAATAAACACCTTTTCCTGTCTGTTCCCCAGGGTTATAAGATTACATCTAGGATTGTAGTTATGCTGGGTTGGATCTGATTATAAGGCTATTACTGGGTCTGCAGTAGAGTCTGTAGTTAGCAGGTTTGTTACTAGTGGCTCAAGTGGGCATACATCCTGTCTGGTCTCTGGGTGGATGGACTGCTCCTACTAGCTTGTTTAGTGGGGTGCTTCTGGGACAAGGGCCCATTTCAGGATCCACAGTTGGGTCTTCAGACAGCCTATTTTCAGGTGCATGGCAGGTATGGCTCCTGCCAGATCCCTGGGAGAGCAGTTGTCTAGTCACCAGATGGGTTCCTGGTGGGCAGGACTGGCACAGAACTTGCTGAGAGAGGCCAGAATCAAGTACCAAATCAATTTCAGGTTCCCATATCAATCTTCAAGATTGAGGTCCACAGACCTGGCTCTGGAAGCACATCTCGGTGTGTCTCCCACATGGTCTCTAGGTGGGATAGACTGGCCCCTGACCATTACTGGAAGGGCTGGAGCTAAGTGAAGGGCCCTTTTAGGATCTCCTGAGGCAAAGATGTAAGTGTCTCCTGCCTGGTCCCTGTGCCAGAAAGACTTCTTGTGGACTGTAGCTGAGAAAGCCTAGAATCAAGTATAGTCCTTGTTCAGGACTTCCAGTGGTGCAGATGAGGGTGTCTCCCACTGGTGACCTGTGCCAGGAGGGAACCATGGACTGTGACTGAGAGGTGTTGGAGCCAAATATAACGCCTTTTCAGGGTCTCTAAG